GCCTTTGTCAAGTTAGATAAAGACCATCTACTCCAATTTTTTGCAGGTTTTAAAAAATCATGAATGGGTGTTGAATTTTGTTGAATGCTTTTTCTGCATCTATTGAGATGATCATATGGTTTTTGTCCTTGATTGTATTAATTTATGTTTGTTGAACCATTTCAAGGTGCATCTGTTTACTTACAAATGACTGAATTTTATCCTTTATGACAGGGTAGTACTCATTGTGTATAAATGCCACATTTTCTTTATTTTATTCAGTCATCTTTTGATGGACATATAGGTTGCTTCCAAGACTTAGCTATTGTGAGTGGTGCTGTTATGAACATGATTATGGATGTGTCACTGTGATATGATGTTTTTAACTACTACAGGAAGCTACCTAGAAGGGGATTGGCTGGGTCATATGGAATTTCTAGCTTTAATTTTTGAGGAATCTTTATACTGATTTTTATAGTGGTTGCACTAGTTTACATTCCTACCAACAATGTAGAATGATTCCTCTTTCCTTATAGCCTGCTATTATTTTATTTCTTAATTATAGTCATTCTTTCTGGTGAAGCCTGGATTCTCAGCACATAACACCTTTTAAAGCCACAACATCCTGTCCTGGGCATCCCTCTCTTTCAGTCTTAGGTAATGTAATCTAGAATAGCACAATGAATGATGCCCATGGAAGTTCCACCTGAGGTGTGGAGGGAAGATAGAGCCCCCTAGTGGAGCCCCGCTAGGGCTAACCCATGAGTTTCTCTGTAGGTGGTGTGTAGGAGTCCCCTTCACATTTGTGGTAGCATCACATTATTTTAAGGTACATTTTGAGGTACATGACTCCAATTTCTTTTTTCTTTCATCATTTAAAAAATATCAACCTATTGTCTGAAAGCTTCCATTATCTTTGTTGGAAAGTTGATTTGCAGTCTAGTGGATGCTTCTTCAAGGTAGGCCCACTCTTACTTATTTTCTAGATAGAAATTCCAATGGTGGCCTGTGAACTGAGGTCCTTTCCTTTCCCACCTTGGATCTCTCAGGTACTGAGAGGACCTCTGTATTCTTAAATACCTCAGTCCTCTCCATCAAGCTCCTTGCACTCTTCAGCTTAGTTGTGCACACTTCTGTGGAAGGTGGATTGTGAGATCTCAAAGTGGGCTTGAGGCTTTGGCCTGAGGTATTTGGAGTGTGACTTATAGACTGGCTTTCTATTTACTTTGACTGGCTTTTTAGAAATAAAATTAAAACTCTGATCTGCTCTTCTTTTACTCTAGAAACAAATGAGTTTTATTTTATATAGGCAGTTTGAGGCAAATAATCTTAATCCAAGTAGGTTGAATTGCTTCAAAATTGTGTTTCTGTCCTTATGAGGTCTGATCTATTTCTTGTCTATATCTTAGGACATTCTATTGTATGTTGCTTCTATGGTTTCCATGGCTCTGACATTTTTACAACATTGAGTATTCCTAGGAGATCTATCCATTTATTTAGTTCTTTTCAATTTCATTAGTTGTGTAGCTTGGTAATATTTTATTAGATTTATGATCAAGCATTTATTTTTGAGAGTGCTAATATGTGACATTGTTTTAAATTTCTAATTAAATTTTTACATTGCTGATACATATGAAAATGGTTGATTTTGTATGATAATCTTATAACCTGCATCCTTGCTATACTTGTAGTTGCAAAAATCTCTTTTTCAAAAATCTTTTGAGTTTTCTATGTAGATGATTATATTGTCTGTAAACAAAGACAGTGTTATGGCTTGTGTCTGGATGTCACCCAATGCAATAATAGGCAGGGCTTCTTCAGATGTGGCTGCATGTAGCGTGTGTGACACTGAGATTGATTCATGGTGCATGCTAGGATCAAGGGTACTGGGTTTAAGGGTATGAGTGCTATTTGCCTTAAGTAGCTTTGACAAGATATAAGGGGTATAAAGAGCTGTGGTTGATCCTTATTGCTTTACTACTTTCTGCCTACCATGAACTGTTTCTCCTCTGTGATGCCTGTCTGTCATGCCGCTCTGCCCTGGGGCCAATTATGGATTGAAACCTCTACAAACTTTAAGCTAAATAAACCTTTCCCTCTTTAACTTTGTGTGTCAGGTGTTTTGTCTCAGCAATGAGAAAAGTAATTAAGACAAAATTTGGTAGTGGGAGTGGGGCCATTGCTGTGACATTACATGGCCATGTGTCTTGTCTCAAGAGCCTTTAGAAGTGGCTGTGGGAAGGGGAAGAGTTAGGAAAGGATCAGAGCTGTTGGCTGAAAAGGTAGGTGGAATGCCTCAGGCTGTACTTGAAGGTAGATTCTGGCCAGCACTCAGAAGACTAGAATGCTGATGGAAATGCTGCTGGTAAAGATAGGGCTTAGGAGGTTTCTGCTAGGAAGAAGTACTACATTAACTGTTGAGTCCAGATGATATGTATTATGGTTTGGCAGGATATTTGTCTGCATTTTCCTCTGTCCTGTGACTTTGTCTGAGACTGAGATTAAGGGCAGCATATTAATCTTGCAGAAAAAATTTTAAGGCAGTCTAATGTTGAGGTAGTGGCATGGTTACTGTTGGAGGCTTTTAGGCAGATTTATGTTGAGAATCAAGAGCAAAGATCACAGTAGAATGATTTAAAGTGTTTTGAGTTTAGCCAGAAAGGAAGCTCCAGTAATGTTGTGAACTGCAAAGATAGAACAGAGGAGATCTTGATTGCTGAGAAGGAACAGGATATTAGTAAAGATGGCATCACAAGAAGCAGCAGGACTTCCACTTTTGCAGCCTCAAAATAGCAAAGGTGAAAGATTTTGCTTTGAGAGGAGATCCCCAGAGCACCATGTTTCAGAATGGTGGTGGCCTAGGGAAATTGTTCTTCAGGATTTGGTTCATAGGCACTGAACTCCTATAGCCAAGAGAGAAGGAAGTCTGGCTACTGGTCTAGCTTGTAGCAGACCTTGGTGTCATCCACATGGTGCTGGTTTTTGGCGTATGCAGTCAGGAAGGTTTCCACTCAGATTTCAGAAGAAGGCTTGAGATCCTAGGCAGTGTGTCCCTGACAGGACAGTGTGTGAAGCTGTGTATGTGAAACTAACTGAAGATTCATTAGAGACCCCAGAAGGTTGGAATGGCCAAGAACCTGGATTGTCTGAGGGAAACTATAAGGAGGTAGCAGAGCTGGCCTAGGGCAGAAGCCACGAGAGCTACAACCCCTGGCAGTGCCATAGGGGTGGAGCTACCCAAGTCCTTTGGATTTTACAACTTGCCACAGATTTCCAGGGATGCCAGAAGTGAAACTGTGGGATTTAATGTTTGCTCTACTGGATTTGGTCATGCTTTGTTCCCATTCCTTGCTATCCCCGTTTGTAACTTTGGAATGGAAATGTCTGTCTTGTGCCACTGAATGTTGAAAGTGTTTAACTTTTCATTTGTACAGGAGCTTGTAGTTGAGTTTGCCTTATGTCTCTGAGAGATTTGGACTTTTCAGCAATGTTGAAACTGTTAGGACTTTGGTAACCCTTAGAGATGGAATAAATGATTTTGTAAAAAGAATACACATGGGTCTTTGTGGGGTCCAGAGGTGAACTGTTATGGCTTGTGCCTAGGTGTCCCCCAAAGCCTCATGTAATCATAGGTGGAGCTTTTTCAGATGTGGCTGGATCCAGAGTGTGTGACACTAAGATTGATTTGTGGTGCAATGCTAGGATCAAGGGCACTGGGATTAAAAGTATGAGTGCTACCTGTCTTAAGTAGCCTGGATAAGATATGAGGGATAGAAAGCTGTGGTTAACCCTTGTTGATTTGCCACATTCTGCATACCATGAACTATTTCTCCTCTGTGATGCCTGTCTGCTATGCCACCCTGATTTGGGGCCAGCCAATTATGGATTGAAACCTCTATAAACTTTAACCTAAATAAACCTTTCCTCCTTTAACTTTGGGTGTAACAAAAAAAAGCAGGAGAGACAGTTTTATTCTTTCCTCTCTGTATACCTTTCATTTTCCTTGTTTGGTCTTACTAAGTAGTAATTTCAGAATGAAGATGATGGAAAGGAGTGTGCTTTTTTTTTTTTGGCCTATCACTGGCTGAAATGCTTCCTGGATCACAATGCACTTCTATTTTACTAATTGATTCTTGCTTATAAATATGGTATAATGTAATTTCAGTAGCTGCAAGTTTGAGAAATAAAATTGTGAAAGTAACTCCATTAAAATCTTGGGAAAAGTTTTGCCTTATTCTTCTGGGTAAATTTTTCTTTTTGTAAAAGTCTATAAAATATCTGAGATTTTGCATTTAACTTGTTTTAGAAATGAAAAAATCAGTGATAGTATTTTCAATGCTGTTGAATTAACATCATAGAGAACATCCTTTCTAGATTTTGTGTTTCACACTGCTAAATATTTATGATATCTCTTCATAAAATCTTAATGTTATAATTTGCATTTTAACAGATGCCACATCAATGAACTCTAATCAGATGAAGATTTTTAAAAACTTACTTTCTGGCTAAAATTCATACTGTTTATTATTTTACTGGTGTTGTGACAAATTCTCACTCATAGGGTTAAATCCTATGTTTTTTAGTTATTTAATGTGTTATGCTCATTGGCTCAGATTTAGTTTAGAAAACAGTAACTTTCTTGCTATGTAATATGTATATTTTTATTTATAAAGGTCACTATCTTTGACAAATATTCGAAATAGTCCTTTCTTATAAGAAATACTTTCGGAATAAGTGGTCTTTCCATAGGTGAAGGAAGAAGATAACTACACTGGAATGGTACACTGAGACCATGACCTATTAGAAATGAAAGGAGACGTCAATATCTTATGTTTATGCCAACTTATTTTACTGAAGAAAAAACAGAGATTCACAAAAGGAATAACAGATGAAGTAAAAATGAGCTACAATTTTGTAATCCAGTTCTTCTCCTAGCAAAGACTGCACCATTCTGTGAATCAAATGCAATTCTATCACTACATTCCACAATCTAAGAAGAACTAAGAGGCATTTTTCTTCATGTCCACAGTTGTTTATTTAATGGCTTCTCTGCTTGGTACTTGGCATGTGCTGGGGTCTCAATTGATTTTCATGTTCCCAGGTGCAGCCATAGACGCTGGAATCTCTGCCCATGGACACCATATCCTCTTCTCAGTTCAGTGGTGATGTTTGCCTAATATCTTTCTTTTTTCAGGCAACTAAGCTGAGCCCTAGATGTCATAGTCACATGAATGGAAAAAAAGAAATGTATTATCCTCCTTGCTAAGTAGCTTATGAGGCAAGTGGTACTGAAGATAAAAGCAGTCCTTGTGATAGTGCTTCTACCTAGTGAACCCAGCCCAAAGTATCAAACATAAAATGAGGGAGGGAGATCCATTAGCTGTAGATCCTATCCTTTCTAAACAGTATCCACTTCAGGATCTTTGCTGTCTCATACTTGCTCACCATATTGTACTAATAATAAGAGAGACAACCCTCTGTCTTAACATCCAAACCAAAATTGGGTTTGGAGTGATGACTGTTTTGTGAACGTGTGTTCTTTTTTTTTTTTTGTACCAGGGATTGAACTTGTGCCTGCAAAGCACAGAGCCACTGAGTTAAATCCCAGCCCTGTGGATGTGTGCTCTTTTAGAAAGATGTAGTCATGTTGACAAAATATTTGTGCATTTTGTTTACTTATATGGGAAATATGATAAAATACGTAGAGTCATTGTACTAAGTCTCAGGGAGATGAAATCAATTTTCTCCACCACCTATAATTCAGATTCTATCTTGAAAGGAATTCCCAATAAGCCCTACGGAGGGTCATTTAGAGGGTGAACATCTGAGACAACCTACTCCCCCAGGTAGAATTAGGTGTTACATGATCCTAAGGAAAAGAAAGTTAAAAATAATTGGGGAAAAGGCCTGTCACTTAAGCAGTGCCACTGAGGACCCTGACAAAGGAATCAACTAGGCATTTATTTTGTTTGAATTGATACTGAATTAAGTTTCCCAAATAATATAAATTTATAGAGGACTTTCCAGGAAGAACTTTGGCTTCATGTTTAGTAGTGTGTTTTTAAACTCTCCTTCTTTCTATCTCTTTGTCCTGTAACTGTGTCTCCCTAACTCCTGAACAGTCCTTCTTACCCAGAACTACCCATATCTGACACTGTCTGTGCAGTTCTTTGTCTTGATTACAGAGACCAAAAGAACCTAGTCTGACCCTTGCTTCGATTGTCCATCCTTGCACCCCATTGCTTCTTGTCCTGGATGATGCTTGCTAGGGTGCTGCTCTGCCATATTGGGATAAATATCTGTGAGGCTCGGGCTCCTGGCTACAGTGTGATAGGTAGTGAAGACAAAGGTCACAGGAAAAATACCTGGCAGAAGTAGAGGAGTCTTTCTTCCTTGATGATAGTTAGGGTCCAGGATAGTAAGCTGACTGACCAGAGAGTTGTGTCCTAAGGTTGTGGAAATGGGTTCCCGATGGCTGGTCTCCAGTGTTGAACTGTGATCTCACCTTTGGGGTTGTAGAGAAATCTGGAGGTCTTGTGCTTCTGTACCAAGTAAGAGGAGGTTGTGGATGTAAGAGGGAGGAAGGTCCCACCCTTTGTACCCTGTCTCTGGCCTCCACCATCTTTATGGATTTTATTAGAACACTCCACTAGGAATGGGCATCCATGGAAGTTGTAATCTCTGGGAGTTGCAATTCTTTGGTGACCATTTGGGCCCACAGGAAAATCTCTTGCTGAAATTAGGAGATTAAATTTAATAACCTACCCGAACTTATGGTTTCATCAGGAAAATTCCTCCTGCTTATCTCATAGGAATAGTAAGATTAAGTAAAATTGTAGATTGAAAGGGATTTTGACCAATCAAAAGTGTTCTTTATGTTAAAGTTTATAATAATTACAGTTAGAATTTATGTAAATATGAGGTCACCTGTCAGTTGTCCCTTCCATGGTTTCAACATTGCACATGCTGAAGCACAATGATTGATTTCTGTAAAAGGCATGATTCTATTTTGCAAGGGCCAATTCTCTGAGATAGAGAAAAATCCTGTTCAAAAAGGGATTTAGGGAGTTCATTTTCTCCATTTCTTGGTTCAGGCAGGACCATACCTGAAACATGTCAAACATTTTAAAAAAATGTTTGCATCTTTAAAGCTCTCTAAAGCATGATGTTGCTATCTTTCTTGACTACTTAGTTCTCTGGTCCTCTACTGTCACTATTGGAAGTCATTCCAATTAAATCTAAGCCTAAATTAAATCTCTGGTACAGTAGCCAGATATTCTTTCTCATTTCCTTGTTCTATGGAAAATAAACTGAATCTCTCAATGCTGGACTATTGGTATCTCCCAAATATTTTTGAGTTTTATTTATAATTTTTTTCTAAGACTCTGCTCTCTTTTTTCATAGCTTCTCAGTCCACCATCTGTTAAGAGTGGTGGGGACCAACTCTTGCTCTGTATCAGAGCGCATATTGGAGCTAGAGTCTTCTAAAAGGTCAGAGTTCAGAGCTAGCTGTATTCCTGGCCATCATACTCATTCCCAGGTGCTTGCTATCTCCCTTAGAAACTGTCAGAATAAGGGCACTTACCCCATTTTGGGTGCGGAGGATATGGGTGTCACGGAACAGTTGCTCATCCCTGAGGTGGGCACAGGAAGGAAGCATGCTGTTACAGGGTGTGAAAATATCCCTCCAGTCTCTAAGCTCATGCCCCTCATTTGGAGTATAGGAAGATAAAGCAGCGGGCAGACATGTCAGGAGAGTGGCACAGACATCTGTGAAGCATTAGTGAATCATGGTCTCTGGAGTTCTGTTCAGCCAGGGCTGATTATGTAGAGTTAATCGAATACCTCAGTTTGAGACCACTGCCACTGGAACAAGTTATGTTTTCTCACTTCTTTACCTCCTTTTTTTTTTTTAGTATGGAAAATGGAATAATGAAACCAATTCTTATCATTCACCCAAATCTGACCCTTCTCCCTCACCTTTCAGGATGCAAAGAAATAACAGCAGGAACTAAATCATAAATCCACATTTTTACAGTTGGCCAATCAGACATACATCCCCAAGGCCCTGCAGTGACCTCCTTGGAAATCAAGTTTTCCTGGATAAAAAATATCCTTCAAGTAGAGGTAAGCCTGACCCTTTGGCCTTTTGTCCCCGAGGGAGCAACAATGAGAAGAGTTTCCTCCATTCTCACAATGGATTCTGCCAGACCATATTTTCTTATTCCAAAATGGAGGTGATTGACCAGACTTGGAGAAAAATCAGAGGGATTGTTCCCTGGATTGTCTATATTTAAATATCTGAAAGATTTATAGTTTTATGAACTCTGTAGAGGGGCTAGAAAAACACAGAGTGGTTCAAATATCAGAGATAAAGAGCAGTCAGACTTCTAGATCTCTTTTGCCTTCTGTTCCCATACCCAAGGCTAAAGTCTTCTCAACCTTTCGACGAGGGATGGAGATGCCAGAATTAAATCATATTTCATTCTAATACTAGAGGAATCTCTCTTTTGGCTGTTGTAAACATATCCTTGTTAATCAATGTATTATCTGTGAATCAGCAGCTTCAGCCTCATATGAGAGTCAGCCTCAGAACCTCAAGCCCAACCTAGGTGATGAGAAGATGTGGGTGGCTCCACCTCTATGGCCTATTGATTAAGAACTTACTTTAAAAAAGGGATCCACATAATCTATATACACGGAAAAGTTTGAAAAACCATTATTTATAGATTCTTTATTGACTGAATGGAGGAAGAAGCTCCAAATATGGCTTTGATGTGATATAACTGTAGGTTCCTGGATATTTTGAGTATTTTCCTGAAACACCAGAATTTCCATATGGACACTTGAGAGCTATAACTTGACTTTGAATAATCATTCCACTCTTGTCTCTCCATTATTACATCCCTGCTGATTCCTTATAGCAGACCTAGGAAATTGCTATCTTCTGTGTCTCTTGTCTCTCCTCTACTGCAAAGAACCATGTCTGACTGAGAGCTGAGAGTGCTACCAAGCTCTCAACATCCATTACTAGGATAAATGGGATCATTCTATTCCCTATTTCAGTGCATTAGACTGAATGCTTGTGTGTCCTCCAAATTCATAGGCTGAAAGCTAATTCACAATGCAATAGTATTTGGAAGATAACTATGAGGTCATGAAGGCTCCAGGTTTCATGACTGAAACTAGTGTTCTCATAGAGGAGAACCTGGGAATTCCCTTGCTCATTTTCTCATGCAAAAACACAGCAAAAAGACAAGTGTTTGTGAACTAGAAAGTGGACACTCACTAGACACCAAATGTGCTAGCACCTTGATGTTGTACTTCCCAGCTTCCAGAACTATGAGAGATAAATCATTTATAAGCTATCCAGCCTGTAATATTCTATTATAACAGCAGAAAGAAATGCAACACCAGGTAACAGGGCTGGAGAGAGGAGAGATGCATGGTGATGGTGAACCTTTTAGATCTTTCAGTGATAACAAGCAGCTGGATGTGATATGTGTGCCACAGATTCACCACCACTGGACTAGAGTGTTCATGGAGGCTGTAAGAAAAGCCAGTGCCTGTGTTGATTGAAGGGAGACTAAAGGAGTCCAGCTTTAAACCCAGGAGAAGGTCCCAAGATAAGACTTTCAGATGAACTCTTCCTTATTCCCTCTCAAATTCCAGCCCTTATCCAAATCTTGGATTTTTTTTTTTTTTTACCTCGAATCCGAGCATCTTCCTGCAGCTGAAAAATAATGATAATTCAGTGAATCAGAAACTTAAGAGACTGGTCTTAGATTTCAGAATATACTAGCTATAGGCTTGGCAGATATGTAGTGATGTCTTTGGGAAATGTAAGAATGGAAAAAAAGAATGGAACTGGATTATATTTGTCTTGGCAGCAGAATTTGTATTGTCTTTGTATCTCTTAAACCAAAACACTGATGATAATGCTCTGTATACAGCATGTGCTCAGTATATTTTGCATGATGAAGTAGCAAATATGTAGGTGTGCGCTGACAACTCTCAAGAGTGGAAGACACACATTTTATTATTTATATATTTAACAACTTATAGAATGAACTCACTCATTCTGTCTGGCATTTCTGCTGTGACTTTTTTTTTTTGGTCCTTTTGACTTTCTTCACTGAATCTCCAGTGGTTCTCTGTAGGGCACCTTAAACTACGTGTGAAGGATATTTTAAAGTAAATAGCTACATACAAGTCCCCTTTTTTTCACTAGCTCAAATCCTGCCTAAAGAGACTATAACCTAAGGAGGCCAATGTTCTAGTTAAGGTGGAGGCATTCTGACCACAGAGGCACAACTTGGGTGAAAATATCAGGTTTCAGAACTCTACCTCATGCCCCCTTTATCTACAGACAGGTGGAGGCAAAGGCTGATGTGATTTTCATGAGTAAGTCCCGGACATGCTAATGGAACACAATGACATAGCTGCTTGGACCATAGAAAAGGGCTCAGTTCTAAGGCCAAAATTGATCTGGATGGTGAAAGAGAGGAAATTTATTTCCATTTCTTTCTCAATTTCTGACCATTATTTCTTCCCAACTAGGAAGAGAGAGCTACTCCTCCCAAGACTACAAGAAGCTAACATTATATTTAGATTATAGTTTTAATGAAATTATATCTATATTCAGAGGAACAAAAGCTAAGAAATCTGTACAGAAGATTCCTGTTTGTCCTGATTTTATGATATTTGTTCTGTCCTGTCCTAAATTAAGTGCTTTCCTGTTTTTAGAGCCTATTTAAATAGTCTGTCCTTAGTAATTGTGTATAGAGGGTGTCTGTTGCTCTCCACTGTAATGGAAAGCAGAAAAAATGCAATAATGGGCTTAGTAGGACCATGAACAAATTAATATAATAATTCAGCATAGCCAGGCACAGTGACGAATGCCTGTAATCACACTCTACTGGGGAGGTTGAGGCATGAAGATTGCAAATTTGAGCCTAGTCTGGGAAACTTAGTGAGTTAGTAAGACCTTGTTTCAAATTAAGAAAGTAAAAGGGTTTAGGGATATTTCTCAGGAGGAAGGGCCTGGGTTCAATCTCCAATACCACAACAAACAGACCTCAGCATAGAGGAAGAGCAGAGGAAGATAATTGTTTCTGTCTACCCCCAAAGTCCTGCCCTTTAATTTGTGCTTTCCTGAATTTGATAGACATACTCACCTAAGAAGGCACTTTATGATATTGTACAGTCCTTTCAACATGGTTACTTCTCAGCACTTCATATAACCACATTGCTGAGAGAAATTATGGTAAATGTAATTTTCTCTATAGATGATCATACTTCCTCAAGATAATTTTTAGGCATCTTCTTGCTTTAATTGTCTGGACAGATAAGTCAACACTACTATAAAGGGAGAAATCACTTGGATAAATAAATAAATAACTATAAGATTTTGTTCCATCATCATCTCAGTAGGGAATAAAAATGAGATCCAGGAAAGTGATGGGTGGGGCTAGGAAATTTAGAGAATCCAAGTTTCATCTTACCTCCTTTTGTATATCCTTAAAAGCTGACAGCACCTGTCAGAAGACAAAAATATAAAAAAATTAATGTTAGATTAACACTTTATCAAGAAGATTTTTTATATAAGAATATAATTACTTGATCTAGCCATTAGGTTATGGAGTGTGGCTTTCTATCTCCAGCAATACACTCTCACTGACTTCCACTCTACACATATCTCTTGGTTGCCATTTATCCATATGGTAAATTAGTGAAATATATTAAGGCATTAAGAGGGCTGAGCTTTGATAGACTGTCTAATGAAGTCTTCTACTATCATACTTAATTTCTGTTTAATTGGTCCTTGTTCTGAAGCTATGCAGTTATTAAAATAAACTTATAGTTATATTTAGGTTATAATATTCTTGAGGACAAGACTGAATGTTGGTAAGGATATGGAGCAGGTGAAACTTTCATTTGTTACTGAAGGGGATGTGAAATCACACAGTCACTTTGGAAGATGTACTGGCAGTTTCTCATAAGACTGAGTAAGAATACAAATACTTACCTAGGCACGGATAGGTACAATAACAGTTGAAACTCTAGATTAGTTCATTTGAAGGAAATGGCAATAACTTCAAGATAGATAACTATATCTTATTTGGTGGAAATATGTAGATATTCAGGAGTTTCAATTTGTGTATAACAGTGCATGTGAAAGATGAATAGTTAAATCAGTGGACTGTAGCAATTATCAATTTATAGCTTTTTAGCAACCCTTTGCATCTAAAGGGTTCCCAACATATGAGAATGTCAATATGCTTCCTTGGTTATATTTTAGGTTCCCGATAGGATGATCTTTGATCTTTGTGCAAGCAACTCACTTTTTAGCTAATACAGTAATGTAAGAACATGAGATAGTTATGCTAATGTAAAGCCTTGTAATTAAGATTACTTCCTTCTAGAAAACTTATAAGAAGTGTTGCTGAAAATAAAAGAATAAAATATTTGGTCACATTACTCATTTAATATAATAATGTTCAGTAAGGGCCGGTAGGAGAGGCTGTGGAGAATTTCAACTATTTTAAATAAATAAAAAATCCATAGTAATTGATTTAACTTATTTACACTGTCTTTTCCTGCTTAGTTCCATGTGGCAAATGTAGTATAAATGCAAAAGTAATGTATTATTCTTTAGTTATCATCTCTAGCCACGAGTTTAAATGTGTAATACATACAAGTAGAATATCAATATTAGGATGTTGAAGTAGCTGATATCTGTGAGAAGTCCCCTTAGAAATTCTGAGTAAATGTCTGTGTTCTGTGAAAGTTTAGAATGGTTTGCTTTGGCTATCTGATGGGCATAACTTGCTTCTGCACTCATTCACATACAAATTTGACACTTTCCTGCTTGAGAATTGGACATCTTGATTGTCATTTTAAGATGTCTGGAAAATGAAGGACATTTTGTCAAAGGGAAAAAGGCATCAACCTTAATAGAAGAAGCTATTCACACATTCACTGAATTTAAATCTATTTTAAATAAAATTTAGAAATTAAATTTAAAAGCAGAGCTTAATATAATGTAGTTTCTACTACCTACTGCTCATGGCATCACTTAGAATATGGAGACTATAGGTTCCAACTGAGCTTATTCACATATTAAAATCATATTTTTCAAGAACCCAAATATTATCTTCAAAGGATTCACTTAAGTCTGACTCAATTATCTCCATGAACTAAGACAACTGTTTTTTTTTTTTTCACTGAGTTTATCGGTACTTTTTAAGTATACAGTATAGTTACATTCATCACTGGGATCTTGCACATTTACATGACAGATCTTGGTTCTCATTTTTCCCCTATACCCCTCTCTTCCCCTTCAGCCCCTCCAACCTCCCCTATTTAAGACTTTGTTTCCAATTTTTCCTTTTCTCATGTTTTCTCTTTTCCCTTATTTCCTTTCCCCTAGCCTTCCCATTTCCCCTATACCTTTAGCCCTCTTCTTCCTATTTCAAATTGTCAGTTATACAATTTGGATCTTATTTACACCTTTAGCTTTTCCAACCAGAGAAACTATTCAGCATTTACACATGTGTGTCTTACTTATTTCACTTAAGAACATGGCCTCAATATGCATTCATTTTCCTATGAATAACTCTAGCTTTTCATCTTTATGGCTGAGTGGTGCTCCATTTTTTTTTTTTTTTTGAGACAAGGTCTCACTATGAAGCTCAAGGTAGCCTTAAGCTTACTATGCAGCCCAAGCTGGTCTCAAACTCTTGGTGATCCTCCCACCTCAGCCTCCTGAGTGCTGGGATTATAGGTGTGCACCACCATGCTGGGCAGGAAGACAAAGTTTAACTGGATCTATTTAAACTAATTTAAATGATTTAATTTAATCCTCAAGGAAAAAGTCCCTTGAAGAAGAATAAAGACAAACTCTTTTACCTTACCACAAGAGGGACAGTTCTTTGCATCCAAAGTATAGATTAATATTGTACTCTTTTTTACCTCACGTTTTTGTAGTAAAAAGTGGCCAGTATCCAGAATGACAATCAAGTTCACTGTTGTGTAGAAAAGTTATACTTCTTGTTCTACTAATAATTTTACTTTGAAGATTTCCCCCCAGGAGTTCCATCTACTTGTTCCAGGGAGTGTGGGGGGGAGAGAAAATAAAACAGAACTGGGGTTCACCTGGAACTTTTTCTTCCAGGCTGAGTCAGAACCACGAACATAGGTGGTGAATAGTTGACCTAAAATGTCTTAGACATACATATCAGCCTTCAGTATGGGGATCAGAGCACTACTTTATCACACTGAATTGGTGACAAAGACCAAACCTATGCTTGCAAGTGTGTGAAAACTGAAAACTGAGAGATTAAACCACTCTTTAAACCAGACTTCAAACAAACAAGACTCATGACAGATTCAAGTAAGAACTGCAGATACACAGACAGGAGTAATTTTGAAGGCTTGGAACTGATGTGAGGAGGAACAGCAATCTTTCACCACAAACCAGCAAACTTCTCAAAAGAAGAGAAATAAATCTGCTCTTTTCTTAAACCCTATCTCCCTTCTACATCACACCATCCTCTCTCTATATAAAAAGATCCTTCTCTACTCACGTGGTCCCAGAGAGTTTCAGTGATTGTTATTTGTCTTTCCTGTTGAAATAAGAGAGAAATCGTGGGAATGTTACCCTCTTTCCAGAATCTGATTTGACACATTATGGAAATGGTGGACCAAAAGACACCGCATCGAATCGAAATGAACACCTGAAGTCAATTTTTCACAAAACCCAAAGTCTCTTTCGGCCCTATTTTGAGTCATTTTTAGCCCATATCTCCAGCTTATCTCTTCATTTAGCCTGAGTAACAACAGTTAGAACTATATGTTTACCTGGCTTATCAGTACTCATAGAACTTTCCTGACCATGGAGTCTTCCGGTATAGAAGTAGCCTTTGAATTGTAGCTGGTCTTGGTACATAAGGACATACCAGCTGGTCAAACACTCTTAACCACAAAACCCAAGCCCTCTTGAGCTTTTCTGTCTCCTGCCCTCAGCCTCACCTCTATCCCCAGGAACCAGAATCCCCAAGGAATGAGTGCATTTGTATGTCTTACCCACCTGTGTTATGATTGCTTCTTCTTTGGATGTACTGAAAAAAAAAAAGATGATAGAAATGTGTTGAGGAGCAAATAGTTAAACACTTTCCCTAACTCCATCCTACAATGCTTGGCAAGAATCCTTGAGGTTTTAGTATAAAGTTTTAGGAAAAATAGCCAAGATCCCACTCGCATATTCCCTCTGGGGCATGAAGGCTTATTTTCCTAATATCTTGACTATTATAATAGAACTCTTAGATTCAAAAGCATAAAAAATGGAGGTAAAAGTTATGGTCACTGTCATTAAATCTTACCATTATCTTTAGTATCTATTATATCTTCTTCACACCCTTCACTCTGTCTAGCCTGTTAAACTGCAGTGGTTCCCACTGAGGATGTACAATATATCCAGTTATCAAACTGCTTCCTTTTTTTGTTCCCACAAAGTATTCTTATTTCCTTCATGACCTCTGAAGGGAAGAGGGTGGAATTCTGAGGAAGCAGCCAAATGATTTTGCTTATTCTGGATAGCATAACTGAAATTCTTATTTCTAAGTACTATTAGAATCAGTGCCAAAGTTACTTAGGAGACAGAGTATTTATATATAGTTAGGTAGAAAACTAGCAGTAAGGAGAGGAATGAAAATGGGTCACATGGGGACCAGTGTGTGTGTGTGTGTGTGTGTGTGTGTGTGTGTGTGTTAAAGGAGGGGAACAGATTCATACTAGTGGATCCTGAGGAAACCCAAACTAGATTTCCTGGCCAGGGTTTCAGGGCCCCAGGATGGGAACCTAATAAATCATTGGGAAGAAAGTGAAATCAAGATGATTCATGTACAGAACTCTGCTAGCTAGAGGATTCTTTCTCTATGGAACCTGGAGACAACTATTTCTCACTCCAATCTAAGCTATGTTCCTTATCCTAAAAACACTATTACTATGAAGATTCTTTCTACCACAGGTTTCATCTACCCAAATTGGGACTGTGTTTTAGTCTATCTTCTGTAAACAGAGGTGGTGAATAATTGCTATCCTGAGAACTGCCATCCTGAATAAGAACATCAGAAGAAAGGTTTAGGGGTGTGTGTGTGTGTGTGTGTGTGTGTTTGTGTGTTAGGAATGAGGGAAACAAGAAGAAAGATGAATGGAGGAAAAGGGGAGGGATGGAGAAAGAAGGGAGAGAGAGAGAGAGAGAGAGAGAGATTTTACAATACAATTCTAGTGATTTATCTCTTAAAATTGAGCCAGAAGATGATTGAGCCTTCATGAACCAGGTGCTGTTAGTGCTTTCACCTCCACACATTTCATCTATAGATGGTCCTATGACAGAGGTGTAGGTGTCCTACTCTGTTGTGCAGCAAACCGAGGCTGTGATGTGCTTAGTGACAGTAACAGGAACACTTGCATTCCAATTCAAGTGAGATTGATTCCAATTTATTTTGTGCCAAAAAACAAAAAAACAAAAAAACACCACAAGTTATTGTGTCCCAGTTGTTTTATAGCTGAGTTAAAAGTACATTTTGGTAAGATTTTGGAATTTTAGGGATAGAAGGGTCTGAATTCCAGCATCAAAATGTTCCAGTTCTAATAATTTTGTTTATTTTTAAGTTTTATCTTATCACTCTTATCAAAAACAAATCAGAAAGGATGTCTAGCCAGAGGCATGCCCATACCATCAGTAAGTGTGCACAGTTTTCTAGAGTTAGTGTGATCATCCTGTGTCCTCTGGCTTCACTTAAGACCTTCTCCAATTCTTCTACCTATCTATTCCTCTCCTCCTAACTCCTAAGTCCCTATCCTGAAGGGTAAAGTTGCTATATTGAAGAGTTTATTCACTATAAACATATTTTTGGCTGTTCTTCGATTTTTATTTAATTCACACAGTTTAAAAGGGTTAGATTAATAACTACCACAAATGGTCAGTTTCTAAGCTGTGCTTAATGAGATTGTGTTGCTGATTGTATGAATTGGGAAAGGGGTTGTGATTGATTTAATGTCCTTTCTGATATTGTGAATATGACAGTGTCTATGAGTTATTAGAGACTCAAAACCTAAAGAGAAGCTATATCAGGAAGATCAAAGTACTAACAGAGGAATTAAATCAAGGACATCCCAACAACAAATATAAAAATGAGAAAACACTTAAGCAAGGCACAAAGACAGACTTACAGTTCATCAATGGCAAATTCTAGGGGAAATGAGTTGGAAAAATTTGACAATCAACCGCCAGGACACCAGGACAATTCAAAACACAAGAAGCAACAAAACAGATCAATCAGGCTCTAGAAAAATTCAAAACAAAATTAATTTCCCAGATAACTACAGAGATGGTGAGTACAATGAAAGAAACAATTAGAGACTCTAGAACAGAACCTGACAAAAAAATAGATGAGCTCAGGACCATAATAGAACCCACAAATGCCCAGTGTAAGAAAGAAATGGAAACCATGTATGACCAACATAGGAAATAAATGGAGTCCATGAAACAGATTTGAACAGATATTCAGGAAATTAAAAACTCTATTGAAAGTATTCACAGAAGGATAGAATGAATGTGAAAATAGAATTTCAGATATAGAAGACAGGATTGTAGTCAGTGACCATGAAAAGAGATCTCTCTTAAAACCAGTAAGGGATCATGAGAAATTGATCCAACAACTCCTAGATGATGCAAAGAATAACATAAGACTAATAGGAATCCACGAAGTAGCAGGACAAAATACAAATGACTTTAAAAACTTTTCACAGAATTGATGACAGAAAACTTCCCAAACAGAGGGGAAGAATTTGACATACAGATAAGTGAGGCATATAGGACTCCAGGTAGCCATGATTAAAAAAATCTACACTTAGACATACAATAGTCAAGATCCTAGAAACCCAACAGAAGAAAACCCAACAAACTACTACAAGGAGTTAGAGAAAAGAAACAAATCACATGCAAAGGAGAGCCAATCAGAATCACAGCGACTTTTCAACTCAAACACTCAGGTCAAGGAGAGCCTGGTGTGAGGTATTTCAAGTCCTATGAGAAAATAACCTCCAACCTAGACTGATGTATCCTGCAGAACCCTCTTTTAAATGGATGCAGAAATAAGATACTTCCATGGCAGTGAACACCTTGGAAACTTCATGAATAACAAACCAGCACTACAAACAATTCTAAATAATATCCTAGAAGAAGACAATGAAGGACATAACACCATGAGGTCCAACAGAACTAATCAACTAGGCAAGTCAAGAAACTAAAGGGAGAGGGGGAAAAGTAAAAAGAGCCAACAACAGGAAAATAACATGACAATGATAAGTCAGTACATATCAGTTATAACCATCAATGTCAATGGCCTCAATTCACCAATCAAAAGAAATAGACTGGCAGAATAGATTAAGAAACAAAATCCAAAACATATGTTGTATATAAGAAACACACCTAGTTAAAAAAGAAACTCATAGACTGAAAGTGAAAGGATGGAAAACAGTTCTCCATTTGACAGGAGCCCAGACAAAAGCAGGGGTAGCTATCTTATTTGCAAAGTAAATTTCAAACCAAAACTAATTAAGAGAGACAAAGAAGGCCACTCCATCCTTGTAAAGGGAACAATCTAAGAGAAAGAGATGACAATCATAAATATATATGCACCAAATATTAATGCCCCCAACTATATAAAACAAACATTAAGGGACATGAAAAACCAAATAACCACTAATAAAATTGTATCTAGACAAAAAACAACAACAAAATACTAGAACTGAACCAAGATTTTGAACAAATGTATTTAATACACATCTACAGAGTGTTCCACCCCACAAAATCAGAATATACATTCTTTTTGGGTGCACATTGGTCATTCTCCAAAATACACCAAATACTAGCTCATTGAACATGTTTAATAAACACAAAGGCATATAATTTATCCTATGTATGTTATTAGACAATACACAGTGCAATTAAGCTGGTGATCAATAGTATAAGAAACCATAAGAACATCACAAACACAGAGAAATTGGACAGTCCTCTCCTGAACAATCAATGGGTCACAGAGGAAATTAAAGGAGAAATTAGTAAGTTTTTACAAATAAATGATAATGCCAACACAACATACAGGAATCTATGGTACACAATCAAAGCAGTTCTATGTAAAAATTTCATAAAAGTGAATGTTCACACTAGGAAAACACAGCAAGCTGAAATAAACAACCTAATGATGAATCTTAGGCTCCCAGAAAAAGAAGAGCAAGAAAAACCCAAAGCTCAAACAAGGGAGGAAATTATAAAGATCAGAGCAGAAATCAATGCAATGGAGACTAAGAGAATGATACAAAGAAAATTAAACAATTGAAGAGTTAGTTTTTTAAAACCATAAATATCAATAAACCCTTAGCCAACCTTGTCAAAAAAAGGAAAGAAAAGGCTTAGATCCATGTAACTAGGAATGAAAAAGGGAAAGTCACACAGATCAAGCAGAAATCCAGAGGATCATCAATACCTACTTTGAGAACCTGTACTCTAATAAAATGGAAAACACAGAAGAAATGGACAGTTTTACTGATACTTATGAATTACCAAAGTTGAATAAAGAAGATAAAAAAATTCTAAACACTCCAATTACAATCAGTGAAATTGAAAACATAATTAAAAGTTTTCCAACTAAGAAAAGCCCAGGTCCTGATGGCTTCACTGCTGAACTCTACAAGACATTTAGAGAAGAATTGCTGCCACTACTCTTTAAACTGTTCAATGAAATTGAAAGAAAAGCAATACTTCCAAATTCATTCCTGGAAGCACATGTTACCTTGATTCCCAAACCAGGGAAAGACCCAACCAAAGAGAGAACTGCAGGCCAATCTCCCTAATGAACATAGATGCAAAGATCTTCAATAAGATACTGGCAACAGAATATAGAGGGTCATCAAGAAGATCATATGCCCTGACCATGTTGGATTTATTCCAGGGATGCAAGGATGCGTCGACATACATAAATCAATAAATGTAATACACTATATAAACAGAATCAAGGACAAAAACTATATGATCATTTCAATAGATGTAGAA